CTCTGTGAACAGCATCTTTAGCAGTTAAGAAAAAAAGTTGTACAGTACCTTGCATGGTGGCCTAGTGGCTAAGCCCTCACTTTGCATTCGCTGGGATCCCATATGGACACCCGTTCATGCTCCGGCTGCTCTGCTTCCCATCCAGCTCCCTATTTGTAACCTGGAAAGGTAGCCGAGGATGACCCAAAGCCTTGGTATCCTGTGTGCACGTGGGAGTACTTTGCTTCAAGCCTCAGATCAGCTCAGCTCTGGCCGTTGTGGCCACTTGGGGAGTGAATCAGAGGATGAAAAATTTTTCCTTATGTAGCACTTTTTCTCTATCTGGCTTTCCAATAAAAATTAATAATTTTTTTTAGAGAAAGAATATTTTGCCATATGGATATGCCTTTACTTAGCCAGCTACTTTGCATCCTCTTAGCTTTGGCTGATGTTTTGTTGGTGTAAATAACCTACAGTGAATATTTGCTTTCTGCAAAATTAGTTCCATGAGATGTTAGTAAGCATTATTCCAAGGAGGAAGGGGAATGTGATGATAGATACGTTTGGTAAACCTAGGGTTTAAAAAAACAATTCAGGAAGCCAGTATTAGGGCAGCAGATTAAGGCTGCCCCTTGCAATGCCTTTATCCCAGAGTGCCCATTTCAATCCTGGCTGTTCTGCTTTTGATCCAGCTCCCTACTAATGTATCTTTGAAGGCAGTGAATGATAGCCCAACTGCTTCAGCCCCTGCTCCCAATATGGAATACTCTGCTTGAACTCCTGGCTCCTGGCTCCAGCTATTGGGAAAGTGACCCAACAGACTGAAGATCTACCTCTGTCTGTCTCCATCACCCTTTATGGATCTCTACACCTTGGTTCTGGAAGCCTTGACTACATTTCTCCATGCTACATTTCTCTAAAAGGGAGCTGCTGAGGTTTACACCTTAGCCAAACCTCAGGCCAGACTCTGTTTTGGGGAGCTCAGGACTACCAAACATCTTCTTGAGATGCTAACCTATAACCAAAGACCACATGTGACTTTACCACGTAGTTCTGAAGTTGAAGGATCAAATGAACAGAAATTAATGTCTTGCTTCCACAGTGAGCTTGCCAAGGACTTTTCAGGAAGGCCAACGGATTGCTGATTGGAATATGAGTTGTGACAAGTTCCTGTTCCACCAGGCCCCCCTGCAGCTGTGACAGTGAAGGTTTTACATTGCTCTGATGTAGTAGTGTTTCTGTAACTGCAGGGAGGTCCTGCATATCTCTGTGTTCTTGACTGCTTGCCGTTGCATTTTGAAATTCCACCCCAGATCTTTGGCCTGTCTTTTGGGCTCTCAGCCATTCCTGTGAAGATAAATGACTGTAGTTATGATTGGATATCAGCAGAATTCCATGTATTGATTTCACTCATCCTCCCAATTTCTCATTTAATTTTTTTGGTAGTATTCCTTTAAGACATGTGGAAATTCTTCATAGTTGTGAGCTCTCTCTGTTTCTTTTTGTAGTTTTTTCACTGTTTTTAAACTTTTAAAAAGCTTCCGTAAACTTTATCCAGATTTAACAAATAATTGCTTCTTGGGCTTTCCTTTGTTGTTATTGCCGCTAATGACTTTTGAAATTTAATTTCTCTTCCTTCAATCTCCTACCAAAAAATAACCCAGAAAGTTTTGTAGTACTGTTTTTGAATGATTTTCCCTTACCTAAATTAATGTGTTATTCCTATGCAGTTGATAATAATTCCTATGAGAAAAATGTATGCGCATTTCCTAAATTAGCAAATTGAGATGAATAGCACTTTATTAGTTATCAGTTACTTCAGAATTGCATTTAAAAATACTGGATGAGACCAGCATGCATTGCAATATTATTGTGATATAGATCATGAAATGTATGAACCAATTAACAATTAATTTGAGATAGGAGTATGTCCTTTCTTGAGGTTCATGGGAGAAAAGTGGAAAGAACAAGAAAGAATTTTTCACAATCAGTGTTGAGAAAAAAATAGCAGCCACTTTATAAATGTTATCAGGTGTGCAATGCTTGCAATCTGTGTCCCAGCCAAGACAGCAGACAGAGGAGTCACTTCGGTGGAGTTTGACAGCTGGGAAGGGCAGAACAGGCATTTCCAGGGCCCTTTATCACCAGACTGCCTGCTGTTGGAGTGCCCGGATCTTAGGTTTCGCCAAGGAACCTTCTTTTTCAGAAGCTGTCTGCAGATTACAACTTTCCTTTGTAGTATAAAAGTGCTACAAGAGTTCAACTTAAGATCCACATCACCAGTTATTTGTAGGCAGGTGGCATCTTGATTTCTGTCTCCTACAAGATTGAACCTGGGCACAGTGGAGGTAAGCAAGAGTTCCTCTGGTCTGGGAATGTAGCACTAACGGATACCCCCACTGTGGGTCAAAAGGCACTCCTTTCTTTGCAGGTCCCTTGGCTTGGCCAGATGCACACCGGCTCGTATTTTCTCAAACATTCTTTCCCTGCAAGGTTCACACGGAAATTGCGGAACAATTCCTTTACCACAAGTTGCACTTTCAGGCCATGGTGGTTTATTTCCGAAGCCCTCGTGGTCCAATTCCGAGCCAACACAGCCTTGCAGAGACAAGCGGTTGCTTGTTCGCCACGCAGGACTGTGCCTGCTAGTTTACCAGCTTTGCAGTTCCCTAGGCTGATCCCTCTCAAGTCGCCCCAGAGCCACTTTTGTGGCAGATTCCATTGGGTTTCACAGGGCCTCCTTGAGGAGGGGCAGTGAGAGCCAATCTCCTTAAGCTAAGAGCAATTTGCAAAGGGCTCAGGGTGGGAGCCCAGCCCAACCCTGCACAGGCGGCCCCTGTGACCACCATTGTCTGCGGGTGGTTCTCCTTTTCCCAGCTGACCTGCCTGCAAGTGCAGAGATGTGAAAAGTTAGAGACAAAACTGGTTTCTGCGGAGGAGGCCAGCTTACTTGTGCAGAAAGGAAGGAAATACCTCTATGGGATTTTATTTCTTCTCCCCCCCACTTCATCCAAAACATACAAAGAGACTCTGTCTGTAATGTGAATGTCGACTTTAAATCTTTTAGGTTTGGATTAACTCTGCAAAAGAAAAAAAAAAATCTGACAGGCTTTCAGATATGATGCAGAAAAAAACTTTTTTCCCCTCAATTCATGTTGTTCATTTGTAAAGCCAAAGGCTGGGGCACTGAATAGTGGGCAGCCACTTGCTGCCTCATTCATCGTTAGCATCACAATGGTCAGAATTAGCAGCCTCCCGTCTCTCCACCACTTTTGCCTTTTCCACTGGGGACATTTAATACAAGGTGGTGAGGGCGAGAATAAATCTTTCTTCTCTGGCCGCCCAAATTAAACTGTATGAAAATTAAGCTAAATCAACATGGTATTTTCAGTTTTGTGCTTTATTTTACCTTCTCTACCAAGAAAGGGGGGAAAGTGTGTTTTATTTTTCTATTACCTTATTAGAAAACTCCCTTCACTGGAAACAAAACCCCACTGCCTTGACAGGCATTCGCAGTTACGCAGTTGGTGTTGGTTTTCGCTATTGAGGATGTCAGCGAACATGTGGAGGATCATGTTTTGCTTATTAAATAAAGTGACTTTTATGTGAATATTTTTTTTGTCGTCTTGGTGTCTAAAATATGGGTGCTAATTTCATGGAAGCAACGTAGCAAAAATTGCTGGGTTTTTGGTTTTGTTTTTTTGTTTTTTGTTTTTTTGCAGCAGCAGCAGCATGTTTGATTTCAAATGTAGTCAGAACTCTTCAATTTTAGGTAGCTAACAAGCTTAGCATCTTTGAACGGACATTTGTGTGTCAGGACATCTGTGTTGCTGTAGGAAACTCCCGTAAGCAGTTCCTGGTGCTCACTGGAGAGTCCGTGAAGAGGTTGTCTGAACTATTGTTTAAAATTAGTACCGTTTGTATTTGATTGATTGATTAGGACTGGTTTTGTGTAGTTGTGAAAGTGCCTAGAAAAGTTGAACGCTACATCATTTTTAATTCTGAAATGTTGTCTGGTTTAAAAACATATCTTCCTGTGTGATGTATAGTTGGATGCAAATGTGGATGTGTTCTCAGACTGTTCTTTACTGGAGTTACAATAACACATTTATGGATTTAGACACTGTAAATTTACTGTTTAACAAATGAACTAAAAAAAGTGAAGCAAATATTTCTTTCCATTTTATTTTATAGTGTAGTTCTTTTTAAGCTGTTGAGCTATCTAATCAGATTTCACAACTTTTTGCTATAATCACAACCAACTAATAAAATTTATTACTTTTTAAATTATAAGGTCATTTTATTTACAACCTATAAGACTCTGGTACAGCTCTTTGGGATTTAATACAAAGGAATTAGTAAAGTTAGTGTTAATATACTTTTATTTGGGTTAAATAATGTATATTTGGTTTGACTTTAACAATAGCAGGCATACATTGATACATATCATGTAAATGAATAAAAATTAAGATTCCACCCTCATAATATGAGCCCCAAATAATTGAATCGTGCTTTTATAAATATTTTAATTTGTTTATGCTATATTCATGGTTCATATGGATGGTTTTTAATATCCTATAATTTTACAAAAGTAAATATTTTTCACTTGCCAGAAATAGTAAATTTAGTTCCCTACCTTGTATTTTATATTTTATCATATTATAGAGAAATTTAATCCAAAGTATATTTTTAGCTTGTTCAAAAAGATTGATTGTGATTTTTCCAAGTTGTAAAAGAAAGTTGAGATTTATTACTCTGTTTGACCACAGTTATAAAAATTCATAAAAGAAGATGAAAAAATTTGGAACATGAGGAAATTTTGTTATCATGCATGCTTGAGGGGAAAAAAGATTTATGAAGTGTATATTTTAGCACATTTGGCTAATTTCACAAGTTTGACCCAGATATATTATATGTTCTGATGCAGAATTATATTGTTAAAATTATTTTAAAATCACCTGAAAACAACATGAATGATGCATTTCTGAGTTTCTAAAGGCCCTTTGTGCTGATTGTTGCAGGCAGCCATGTTGTTCAGCTCTGGAGTCTTTTGGACGGGTTTGTTGTTCATCCCTGTGGCAGCCTTGCTTCTTGATGTGGCGTACAAGGTGTAAGTATGCATGCGGCTCTTCGCCAGGAGCCATAGGTGCAAGTAAATCCGAGGTTTCACTCCTTTAATGCCAAATCAAGCACAGGGAGTTGGCAAAATTGGTACTTAGAAATATTATTTATGTGTTTCATTTTTTCGAACTGAAAGATGAGTTTATTTCTAGGCAAGTAAAACTTTCAATCCATTCATAGTTTTTCAAAATGTCTTTTTCATGAGCTTTTTAAAGATGTTTCCTATTTAACAATGGTATGTATTGCTGAATTGTACACAAAGAAGAAGGGAATGATTCAGAAATCTGAAAACTAAATTATTGTTGAAGAGAATTAAAGCAAGAAGTTTCAATATTACCAAGAACTGTATTCTCTGCATGGGAGGAAAAAACACACTAAGAAGTACAAGTATTTTTTAGAAATAATCCTGAAAAACCCATAATGAGTAGAAGGAAAAAAAAATCTGCCATACCCCAATACACCTTTTCAATAGTTGCAAGATGTAGTTGTTTGATTGCCTGCTTCTAGATACATATAAAATAGAAAACGAAAGAGGTGAAAACTGTACTTATTTTTTTAAGGATTTTTTTGTAAGTTTTGGGATGCTATCTCTTCCCACCAAAAAAAAAAAAAAGGTATAATTACAGTTCATTCTATTATGTTTACTTGGTGACTGTGAAATTTAAATCTAAACCATTAACTTTAAATAAGATTATTGCTCCTGTCGTAGTGGTGTTCAAAATCCCTGTCATGTTTTAGTTTCTGTTGGAAAGCGCTTGGACCCTACTCGTTGTTGTGCTGAACAGCGTGATAATAAACCAGGCGTCCACACAAGCATTTCCGTGCAAGCCTTTTTTCTATTTCTTGCAGCATCAAGAGGACCGCTTTTAAAACATTAGTAGATGAAGTGCAGGAACTGGAGGCAAAATCTGAAGACCCAGGAGCCGTTGTGCTTGGGAAAAGGTAAGATACAATAAATTTGCTTTTTTCCGAGTAAACTTGAAGTTATCTCTTACTGGTTTGTGGAAATACACAGCGACATTGGTGTTCATTAGCTGGCATGGAGCCGGCAGTGTTGTTGACAGATTTTGGAACTGAGATTCCTGAACTCCGATCAGGTCTATCACTAAGGTATCTATAGCCTCAGCCCGTGGCTGATGCTCAATCAATAAAATGGAGTGATAATGCCTACCCCAGAGTACATTGTAAGAATAAAATATCATAAAACACAGAGCGTGTTGCAGACCCAGCTTAAAACAGTGATACCTCATCAAAATCTGTTTGCCATAGGGCAGACTGCCCTGTGTTTGTAGTTGTGATTTTTGCATGTTATTGGGAACTGATATAAATGCATATCATTGATCAAGTTCGCTTCTTCCCTGTTACCCTCCCTCCCCCAACCCAAAGGAAAGCAGTCAGAAGACTAATCAAATTCAATGCATTCATGAAACCTTCTAAAAATTTGAAATATTTGAAAATAGTCTGCAATTTTAAAAAGTATCAATATAAAGACAAGGAGTTGTTCTATTTTTTTCTCTTTCATCAGTCTAAAGGGATCCAAAGATTTGTCTAAAATATAGGAAATATTTTCCCTGTGCATATGTCACCTTAATCCTGATCGACTGGAGTAGGTGTCAGACTGGGAACTCAAGCTCAGACCTTAACCTCTTGCTCCCTGGTTAGGCCAGGCCGGGTCCTCGCACACAACATGTGCCTCCTTGTAGAAGGGGCAGCAATGAAAAGCACTTCACCTGCATTTCACACGTCCTGTCTCATTGAGTCCCTCCAATAGCCCTGTGCAGATGGAACATCACTGTTTTTTTTTTTTCCTACATGAGGGTAGTAGGACTTAGAGAGGAAGGAAGGGGCCCATGGGCCATGGAAGGCCTGTGAAAGCATTGGGTCTGGCCCTACCCAGGCAACCCCAGGTAGTATTCAGGATTCAGTACATCTATAGCAGGCTAATGTTTAAGTTGATATTGTTGTGTGACCTACAAATGATATCATAAACATTCAAAGGCCTTTAACAGAAAAACAATCCCCATCCTTGACTTGAGACACTAAATTCCCAAGAATAGGAGTCATAAACTTGGCCCTGAGCCCACGCCTGCTGATAGAGCTTCTGCTCTGAACAATCTACTCCTCCGTCTCCTTCGGCTGCTTTGTCAAGAATGTGCTAGTGCAGCACCACCTCTAGCCACAAAGTATTGAAACCTCTGAATTAATGTTTCTGTGTATACAATGGGAATGATCATGCCTGCTTTTGGGGTGGCTGGCATTCTATTCTCTCTGTCTTCCCCTTCATTAAAATACAGGGGACCAGTGTTGTGACATAAAGAGTTTAGCTGTCAGTTGAGAGGCCAGCATCTCATATTGTGCTGGTGGGGTCCTAACTCTTCTACTTCCAAAGCAGCTCCATGATAACTCACCTAGGAGAGCAACAGATGATGGCCTTAGTACCTGGGTCCCTGCCACCCATGTAGAAAACCCAGATGCAGCTCCTGGCTCCTGGCTTTGGTGTGACCCAACCTAGCCATTGTCATTTATGGGAAGTAAACTAGTACATAGAAGATCAGTCTCTCTCTTTTTCTTCCCTCGTTCTCTCTGTCATTTTGCTTCTCAAGTAAATAAGTAGGTAAGTAAGTAAGATCTCAGCTCCAAGAGCCTGTTCATGTTTTCTCTTTGTTTTTCTTTCCTGGCAAAAAAATTTCAGCTCATAAAATAGTGAAAAAGCCCTTTATCAACACATATTAGAGAAAGGCCACTGACAATACTACTACTTTTCTTCAAGGAACTATATCCTATTTGCAATAAAATATTACAATCAGCCCCTCCCTGGGATTCTTGCTTGCCTGGTTTGTAGTAACTTCAGCTATCATAACCAGGCCACATTTCAATGTGAGCACCCTTGGCCGTGAACATGGTGCAGGCTGTGATGCTTGTAGCTTCTTCCATAAAATAAAATTGGTCCAAGAGTCAGAAAGGGGAGGGAGGAAGTGGATTCTGCCCTCAATGACTCCCAAGTTCTCTGTAGAAAAATGTATCAGATAAAGTTCCTATTGCTGCCTAACTCATTAGCCTAAAATAGCTACTTAGCTTTTCCCAGGAGCTCATGGACAAGTCAGCATTCAGCCACTGCTGAAAAATGCTAACAAAAAGTCCTGGGACAGCAAATGTCCCATGGCCCTTGTTGCCTACTAATGTGATCAGACGGTAATGCAGGTGACCATGGTAGCTTGCTGCTAAATCTCAGAGAACTGGGGAGACAAAGGAGCTGAGAGAGGAGAAAAATAACAGTGGGGTGGAAAAGCTTCCATGCTAAACTAATTCCATGGGAAGGTTGTTAAGGAATTACTAGGTTGATTTTACTACCAATAGTATTGTAAGAATCTTGGAGAAGATGGATTTCAAATTTAATATAATAAGAATAATAAAGAATCTTATCTCCCTAGTCAAGAGGAAACAGCGTGAATTGTGTATATTCCAGCACTGTCAGATATCCTTTGGTTCTAAAACACCACATTATTTGATACTTCCCAGACTTCATCCATACTGGTCCCACCACACCAGACACCCCTCCTACATTACTCATTTTCTAGTTTGCAAGACCCACTTTAAACACAATTTCTCCAACATTCCACATGTAAAATGGATTGTTAGCCTATTACCTTTGTATCATATGTAAGCTTCTGTTGTTACATTTATTGCATAGTATCATGATCTGTTTGTTCACCCTGTGGACTGTTGTCTCTCCTATTAGCTGTGTTCCTTAATGGAGCAGGCTGCGTTTTAGCCGTGGCTGCAACCCAACACCAAGCAGTTGCTAATACTTATTTAGTGGATGAATCAGCAGTCAAGAAAATGGACTAAAGAAATTAATAAATGAGAGGGCAGGTAAAAGCATGGCTGGTTTGTAGGCAGTGATCTTAAAAACACAAAATTATATAAGTTATACTTCCCAAACTAGGCAATATTAAATGCAGCAATTATTTAATCATTTGTTGTAGAATAATGCAGTTCTTTATTCAACAAATTTTGTGATTTGACCACCCCCAATATTCTTAATTTTCACTAAGAACTGAACTCAATAATATGTTATTTATAAAATAAATATTGCAGAGAAACTACATTGTAAACACTGTATTTGCATATTTTCCATTTTCAAAAATTAAAAATGTTTCTTAAAATACTCATTTTTAGTACAAATAGTACAGCGCTTACCACAGGACCCAGAAAATTAGATACATTCCATTAAATTTGGGGAAGGAAAGTACATTTATTCAATCTAAATGTATTGCTCTGAGCTGTAGATTATAGTAAGAATCAATTTAAGTCTAAAATGTTGGAAAACCAACCCAGACCTTCTCCTAATCAGCTATGTAGCCAATGACTTCTTATTTTTACTTGAGAAAGCGATGTATGAGATGTGAAAGAATGTTCTGTCCTTAATTGTTATGTGGACATACTCCAGCAATGAAGACTAGAACCGTAACAGTTCCAAAATTCAAAATTCAAAAATTTATTTTCCATATGTTTGTGTCAAACATTGGCAAGAAAGACAGGAACCATTTGTCCTATAAACGTAAGGACAATTATAGGGTTTACATAACCCACAATGTAAGAACTTAAACATTTTGTGGCAGATACATTACTTTCTTAGAATATAGATTTCCTGACTCTCATTCAGTATTGCATCCAGAAGTTATATGTAACATATTACTGTTTCTTAAACAAAACCCTCAAAAATATGAATTCAAAAACAAATGTTTCTTAAAAATAATTGTGAACATGGTGGGCTCACTGGAGACAGGGCAGTTGTTTGGGGGTATGATGGGCATGTTTGTGAAGCAGTACATCTAATAGACAGATACGGACATGAAACTCGTAATTTCTGTTTCTCACTCTGTGTGTGCCAGCAGTTCATCTTGTTCAGCCATTCTGAAATACAGTTTTATCCTGGCTTCCTGGGGCCTGTCCCTTCAATTGGCCCATAGCCTTAGCAGAAAAGGAGAGCAGAGTGGAGTGTCTGAGAATGAAGCTGTGTAGATGGTGATGGGTGCTGCCTCCCAGCCAATCTTTGCATTGCTCACAGTACTGAAGGTCAATTTAACATTTCCCAAAATAATGGACAAGAATTTTTTATTGCTAAATGTTCACGTTGAATTTTGTAGCAGTATTACATAGGAGTTGAAGACAGAAATATATCAAATGTGCTCCGAAAGCTTTCTGCCTGAGATAATGGTTCTATCCCAGATAGGTAAGGACAAGTAACAGAAAGTGATTCCCTCTGGTGTGGATATTAGACCTGCTGTGTTTATGGGCTATCCTCCTTCCACCACTGCTTCCCAGTACAGGACAGCTTTCCACATGCTGTTCTTCAAACAGCCCAGGAATCAAAGACTCTTTACTGTCTAGAGTTTTATTTTAAAGGAGCCCACCCAAATAGCTTATCCAACCTAGTATATAAACAAGTATAAATGTACCACTCTTATAAGATCACTGAAAATATTGAAAGACAACACATCCCAACATATGCTGGGTCTGTAAAATTTTCTTATATAAAAGAAATATTTTTAAACCTGGTGTCTTTTTAGTCTGCCAGCTATCTAAATTACAGCTTTTAGTATGTTTGAAAATTAGGTAGAAATGTTTAAGTGCTAGTTATTGTGTAGTTGCATTTTAAAAACTCAGAATTTGCAAAGCTTGGTATGTAAATGAAAGAGTAGACAAGATTAGGTAAAGCTGCTAGCCAACAGTTGTGAATATGTGGCTTTAGTAATAAGGTATCTTAGTTTTATTTTTTGTTTTGTTAAGCTGTTTGAAGAAGCTGGACTTTAATGTGCCTATTAATGCATTACCAGTATACTTTATAATGTGACTTGCAGTGGTACTGCCGGCATCCACAAGCATGAGTGGCACAAAAGTACATAGATTTTGAAGTGATGAGCAGTTCCACAAAGGTAGGAAAGTCTACAGATACACAGCTTACCAGTACTTATTCTTTGTTAAGTACTCTCCTTTGAACGGCATTTGTATCCCAAACGAAAAGCAGGTTCTGAATAGCTAAGGAAAAGCAAAAGAAAACCAAGCAGTTTTCCTATTAAAGAGGTGGAATGGGTGCATTAAATTCAGACTCCTGTGTAGCAATGGGCATCTTGCATTGAGGTAAGGTTAACTATAAACCTAAGGAGTAGATGTTTGGTACAATCATTAAGACGCTGCTTGGAATGCCCACATACCATGATGGAGTGCCTGAATTCAAGTCCAAGATGCACTCTTAATTATGGCTTCCTTCCTGGGAGGCAGCGGGTAATTCCCCCAGATAAGGGAGACATGGATTGAATTCCTGGTTTCTAGCTTCATTGTGGTGGCTGCAGGCGTTTGAGTAAAGAGCAAGCACTTGTGAGCACAGTCTCTCTCCTCTTTCTCCTCTCTCTTCTTTTCTCTCCCTGTGTCTTGTCTTCTCCCCGACTCTGCCTCCTCTTCCCCTCTCTTGCTCCCTGCCTCTATCTCAAATAAATAAATTTTAACTAGCTTGCTAGCTACTTTTTAAGACAAGGATTGTTACAGAGTATCTTTTGTTTTTTGATGATCTCTGTTTTCTACTAAACTCCCCTTGGGATGCGGGAGGATGCTGGTGGAAGGGACCAGCGTGTGTGGAGTACTTCCTGGGTGTCAGCCACTGTGTTAACAAATCTGCAGTCTGTCTGAGAGCTGAGTATTGTTCTCCTGACATGTAGAAAGGGGTGACCTGGCTAAGATGTGGCAGACTGAAAGCTAAACCGCCCCCCCATAAAAATGACTCACACTCCACCATGATGTGCTGCTTTCCAGAGAAACAGACTTTCATATTGTTTCAAACTCATACATACACTCGCGCACACACATTCACTGGACATTGACTCGAAATAGCTGAGTGAGGGAAAGCTTTATAAGAACTGTGACAAAACAGAATTTTGTTACTCGGTTCCACAATTCTTCTGTCTGCTGAGTACTACAGTGCTGCAGTGCCACACATCAGTGAGGCGGGCCTGAAACCTGGAAAATGTGTCTGGGTAAGGGGAGGCGGCACAGTGACACTGCACTCTGCAAGTCTCCTGCAGCCCCTTCAGGGCTGGGCACCAGAGCCGTCCAGCAGCCCCTCCACTGCAGGCCTGTTAAGCAAACCAGACCACCTGCGGCTAAGGCTGCACACTTCCTCAAAGCAGTTACATATTTTAGTGTCCCTCAGGGTCCCGGGGTCTGTAATGTTAGATCATTTAAAGAGATGAGTGGGGAAAGAAAAGTGACTCAGTAAAAAAAAAAGGGTCCTTTTGCATTCCCTTTATCCGTTTATCTCCCTGTCAAAAATAAGCTTTACAGCTATTTGCAGAACTGCTGGAGTCTTAGGTTAATTCATTTTCTCGCCTTAATGCATCTTATTCCCAATGACAATAAACTATGCCTAATAAATACTAGTTAACATCCCTAGACTTAAAAAAAAAATATGTGGAAGATTACTGCAAATGTCAGCATTTCTAAATATTTTCCCTTCAGTTTCTGGCTAAATGTTTGTATAGTTCATTTACACAATGAGCTCATTTTGTAGGGGACCTTTTTTTTTTTTTGTATATGATAAAGATTGTTCCATTTCAGAGCCTCCAAAAACTGGCAAAATACAGAAGTCACATAATTTATAGCAGTTACACTAAAGCTTTATAGTGGGAAAAACACAGGATGGAAACTTTTCAACTGAATCAGTTCCAGTTATTAAAACAAAATGGCATAAACACTTTCGGCAGCACATATGGATGACTTATTTGCTGCTCACACGCTTAGTTCTTCATATCAAAGCAAAGTTTTGTAAATCTTCCGTGAGAGAGGTGGCACAATCAGGATTGTTGAGCCCAGTGTCTGTTAAGTGCGCTTCCAGAATTACTCAAACCCATTTATCCAACAAATACTTGAGCTCCTACTATGTGAGACACAGTCCAATGTGCAGGGAGCAAAGTGAGGCATTACTTTTTCATTGTGCTTTTAGAAGGGGCAAATATGTACATATATATATAAACAAATATGTAGATTTGTAGAAGAATAAATATGTTCCTTGTTATTCACCTACTATTGTTATTTTCTTAAAAGTTAATTTTTAAAATGGAATTAAGGGAACACCATTTTCTACTAAAATATATATAAACTACAAAAAATATGCAGTAATTACTTAATTTCTAACTCTACAAATGCCATAATTAGAATTCATGTACTAAGTGAACCAAGCTTTTAGGAGCAAAGACTACTGGGTGGTTTTGTATTTTTTATTAATTGTGCTGTGCAGGTTCTATATCATCATTGGATGTAAATGTGGAGGTGTGAGGAAATCTGTCTATTGGATTATTAGAAACAGAGCCCCCTCTTTGACTGTAGGGGAAAAAATGGCTTGTCTAAATACTGGAAATCTCATTTGTTGTTTGAGAAAATGGGGTAAAAAGAATCGCTAGGCTACAGATTTTTTCAAGTGATCTTTTATTTGAGTCAGACTCTGGCAGTCCTGTGGGCATACTTGGGCTCAGCAGAACTGAGTATTCGTTTCTCACGTTTGCACCTGCTCCGCAGCCTCACCGAGCGAGCACAGCTGCTCAAGAATGTGTTTAAGAAGAACCATGTGAACCTGTACCGGTCCGAGTCACTGCAACAAAACCTGCTCCGTAAGTGTCAATGTGCTTATTTTAAATAAATTCTTTGCCATAACTCTATTAGAACATTTACTAGAGTGGCATTTTGCAGGTATTTAGCTGTTTAACACCTAAAATAAGTTGTCCTTTGCAACATGGAATGTAACTGGCAAATGGTTAGAGTCCTCTGGGCACAGTCATCTTGCTTTTACACAAAGAGAGCATTTTGAAATCTTGCTTAAAGAAAAAGCAATAATATTTTCACATTCTGCGTGCCCTTAAATCTTACAAAGAACCAGTAAAATAAATCCTGCCTTAAAAGTGAGCACTGCATTGTTATCTTTTCTACTCGGACAACTTCCCTAAAGACTCTTCATCTTTTAAGAAGCACAGGGAAACGTGTGTTTTCCCCTTCAAAAATATTTATGAATATTTAGAGTTGTGAGAAATCATTAGGTATTTTCCCCTTTTAGCATTTGAAGGATCTGAGGAGGAATATAATATTTAAAGTCCCATAGTCAATTGGAGTTCATAATATATCTTTAATGTCATATTGTTTGCATGTATGATTAATTTTCATTTAGGTATCCTTATGTTGAATGCTTTTGTGTGTTGTATTTCAAGCGGCCTGTTCTGAGGCTGTGAGTCCCCTGGGGGTCAGCTCTTATCCCCACGCCCCCTCTGCCCATGCTGGGACATCTCCCATAGGGCATGACACGTGAAGGCAGGAGACTTCTTTTCCTCCTTTAACAGCTGCGTTTGTTTTCATTTCCTCTCCTGCATCTTTTGAATTGTCCACTAAGAATTACATGTGTTTATGAGGTGCAATGGATGCTGTATATATGCAGACATGTTGGATGATTGAATCAGCTGGTTGCTGTGCACCTCCCCTCATCCATATATCATTTTTCCTTCCTTCTCATCCCCATACAACATACATAAAAAGATGTAAAAAGAAATGTACATGCCCACTTTACTCCTTTCACTTCCCTGGTGATGATGAAGCAAAAATTAGGGGAGTTGAACTGCAGAAGCTGAGGATTCGGGTGTAGAGGATGCCTGCCTGGGCTTCTGGGAGGAGTTCATAGACTCCAAGCCACAACCATAAAGCACCCTGTAATTCATCTTCAACTTGAGTCTGTGTCTTTCCGGGATGTGATTAATCATTGTCCCTGTGCTTTTGAAGGTGAAACAGACACATAAGTTCCTAAAGTTACAAAATAAGGACGCGAAGCATGGACCTTCGGCACAGCAGTTAGGATGCTTTCCCGGTTTTCTGCTAATGGGCGTGCTGGGACGTGGCAGGTGATGGCTTGAGTACTTGAGCTCCTGGCACCCATGTGGAAAATGCAGGGCTGAACTCTAGCCTCCTGGTTTCACCTGTTGCAGGCATTTGATGAGTGAAACAGCAGATGGAAGATTCATTTTCTCTCATCTTCTCCCTCTCCTAGTCTGCCTTTCAAAAAAAAGTAATCTTTAAAAATCATTAAAATGAAAAAAAAAAGTTTTAAAGTCAAATGACTACTCAAAACTCAGACCAACAATGATTCCTAGCAACTTCATGATGACGATTTCTATTGCTTTGCATTGCAGATGGATATGCCTTCTCTCAAGATGAGAATGGGATCGTTTCACAATCTGAAGTGATTCGAGCCTATGACACCACAAAACAGAGGCCTGACGAATGGTGATGGCAAGGGGCAGGGAGGCAGGCCCAGCTCTGTCTCCAAGGAGAGCTACAGGTCGTCACCACAGTCTGCCAACCCGGTCCATCTGGGTCCACAGGGAAGACAGGTGGATCTGGGCTTGTCTCCCAGGCGGACCTGCAGATGCGTGTATGTCGTAGACATGAGCACTGTGCGAATACTGTAACATCATCGCTCTCCGATTTTTAAAGTCTTTGCTAAGTCTTTGTAAAAAGCAGTTGAAAGTGATCTTGTGTCTCACCAGAGTGCTTTCTTAAATGGAAATAGGTCGGCGTTCTCACACCATTAGACTGTAACTATCAGTTTATTGGCTCTGCCCCACAGTGACTAAGCATTGCAACAACTCTGCAGTGATATGAAGTTAAAAGGGACTCTTGATAAGCAGACATACATGTGCTGGTACTAATCAGCATGAAGGACCTGACTCAACTTACTGAGCATTTCTGAACGAGGCATTATTATTACTTTGTGTTTGTGTCAAAGCTGTCTTGATAAATGTTTGCCAAAGAAGTTCAGGATGGGGATTTCTCACTCGGTAGTCATTTGCTCAGACATTTCAGAGAAAGCTTACTTCGAGTCCTGCTGTGAGATCTGCATGCTTGACTTCCCAGTCTAAGAGTGATTTTGCAAAATGACTGTCTCAAGGCATTGGCTACTAAAATCTGCAATGTTGCACCTTCGGCCTTACAAATGCTGCTTTGTTGTCTGTCTTGTTGACCTGTGGGAGGGCACCAGTGTTCCAGTGGCTCCGTCATTAGCAATGCTGATCTTCAAAACTGTGTCTGTGTCTCTGTCACTTCTGAGGATGTTTTGTCACCCTTTAGATTTTTCTTCAAAATCTGGCTTCTGCTGTAGATTGTGTGATGTTATTTTGTCTTTAAGTTCTCCTTCTTAAGAAAAATAGGCTTACCTATTAATGTGGAGTTTCCCAGTCTTCTGTCTAGGTGTCTGATAACGTGTTTGATAAATGCATGGGCTTCTGTCATGTACGCAGTCTCGGCTCTTGTGATGTGTCTTGGTTCTCTTCACTTGCTTCCCTGGAGATGCCTGCTGTCCTGGGTAGCAAACTCAGTGTGACTGTGATGGTCCCTGTGCTTGAGACCCATAGTTAACATCACCAATCCCTTAGCAAGCAGTTCCCCAAATTGCCCACAGGCTGATTGTTGGGATAAAGCAGTGGTGCACTTCCGGTGTTTTGAAAACACGCGTTTAACTCAAGCCTGTACCTTTACAGAAAACACCAGTCCTACGTGGATTTTATTTGCATATTTGAAATGAATGTCTAGTTTACCTTGAACATTTCTGAGACATGTCCTAAAAATGCCTATTTTGCTACCAACAATGAAGAAGAATTGGCCGCAGTTTTCTATACTATTTTTAAAGCAAATATTTTCAGTTAAAAAGAAGAAAGGAATGCTCATTTTCAGATACATTTCTAAGGCTGAAGCAAACTCTTTGCCTTTTTCAGATTGCCTTTAAGTGGACTTAACCTGCAAATAGGTAGAACTTCTTTTTAACAAAAAGAAAATCATCTGGAATTGAAAAGAAAGATTTTCTGAATCACCCCTTGAATTTAATCATTTCATGTTCTTTTTTGCTCTTTTGCCCAATCTAGATTTACAATTAGGGTGTGTATCGCTTCCTTCTCTGTATTTGTGATTATTTAGTTCCCTGTGTGCCTCCCAATTTTGTACAAATAAAAGATTACAACATACAGACATAATTCTAACCTACAGGGAACAACAAGTTCGATCCTCCTCTGCCAAGACCCTTCCTGTGCGGGGTTCCGAATGAAAGAGGCATAAATCAAAACATCTGTAAGACCTCAGGTGTAGAGTTGAAGGTCATACTCAATGTTCTGAAGCCACAGACTTGTTACCATCCACTGAATGGACATTCAGAGCTGCTTTTCCTGGGCCTCCCAGCAGTGAGAGTTGAGGTCAAACCACAAAACTCAGACAGCAAGCATGAAGTACACCTTCCGGAAAGCGTGTGACAACAATCCCAGAGAACAGCGAGGCCCTGAACCTGTGGCCTCCTCTCTCCAAAATCATGGTAGTTCTAGGAGAACTGAATTTTCTGACTTCAGTATGGAAACAAAATTTAATTTTGATCTCAAACTGTGAATTATTTCAGTAGAGCTTTTCAAGACTAAAATTCTCCTAGATAGTAATTTAGTGTCTGACACTGTGATCTCAAAATGGAATGTGCCTGTTTTAGGCCTTTTTGACCTGAGGTCCTCGTTTTGAATGATCAAGTCAATCTCTTTGCTTCTCGGGTCAGACAAGAAAGTAGGGGATGACCTCCTGGATAAAAATTTAAAATTCATCATTGCAGTTGTATTCACTTTATAATGTTAAATTGGAAATGCTCTGGTATTTTTAAACTTCCTTCATGGGAAGAATGCCACATGACTTTACTAGGATTAAAATGAACAGTGAAGTAACTTTGAAGATATGTTTTCTGAAATAAAGGACATAGACTCTTCCCTTAAAAGTCCCTTATAGGGACTCAGGCAGATGCTCACATGGTTGCTTCACGACGATTGCTGAAATGTCCTGAAAAACAGGAAATGCTACTTAAAGTAGAAATAATTTTAACATTAAATAATTATAACATCCTCATAATTTTAACATTGAAAAGTGGGGAATTGCTTCTTTCATGTGGAAGAGTAACAGTTATAGTATTAAGCATGAACTTTCTAAGCATTTTATATACACATATAAAAATTTATTGCTGGTTCACACCCAGAAAGATGCTATATTGTAGAAGTTATTCACAGGAAACTAGTGTTTCTCAGGAACATAGCAGATTTAAACTGATAGATGAAGTTCGAATCCTCCCATTTCCACTCTGTGCTCAGCATCGTGGCACACCCAGTGGAGAACCTTTTGTAATGAAGTTTAGTGAATGTGTATTCTGAAAAGCAAGGAGTGCCATTTACAGGCATGGTATAATCACAACTGGATGTAGTGATTCCTCTGGATTTCTAGGGGGAAAATTAAATTCTGAGATATCAATTTGTATTCTGATCATTAATTGATTTTGCAATTCAGCATTCTAAATATTCCATGTGCAAATCACACTCATTTCTTCTACCATATGTGCAGTGTCCAAAACTTGCAGCAGTCACTTAAAATGTTTGTTAGGAAGTTAGATATGTATATTTCATGTTTTGGTTACTTAAGACAGTGTCCTAATTATTAACAGCTAAAAAGTCATTGGTATTTATTTTTATGCAGTTACCCTCTGATAGTTCCCAGTTTATAAATTATTTCATCAAGTCAATCTAAAATCTTATAAATAATCATTTACAAAATTTATCAGGAGATGACCAACTCATTCACTTCACTATGGGATTCTTTTGGTGGGTTCTGAAGGTAACACCATACAGTCCAGTGCCTAATAAATGCTTTTTAATGATTAATATTTCTATAATGCCTCTTAAAGATACCGTAGTCTGATTTTTCTCACATTAAAATAACTGTAGTGGCTTGTGGAACTTGGTTATCCTTTGCTGCATTTTAATTAACCTTCAACAGCTTTTACACTGGAATGTAGATTAAATTTTGAGGGAAATAAAATAAATGTTTTCCATTTTCATCATGATTTATTTTCTGTTTGAGAGCAGCTGTGTTTTTTGATAGGTTTATGGTTAGCATGAATTAATATTTAAAGCGATCCAGGCCAATGCATGGCTATTGCTAATAAATCTTCATGTTTAGTTCTGCCTTATAAAAATCTATCATGGCCTACCTGGAATTTAATGTTCAGCAGACAAATTAATTGGTCCTCCACACAACATGTTTTTATAAGTAGATTATTTTACAAACAAATTTGAGCAACTTCAATTGAAGCTTTTGTTTTGCTTGCCTCTAAAAAAATGTAACTTCTCAGCAGATAAATCTCCCCGAAGTGGAGACAAACTGAGGTCTTACATTTGCTTACTTTGAATTAGCAGCAGCTCTCCATGGGTTAAGTCTGCTCTTGCTGAATATTTAAAAAGTAAAGTTTTAAGTTTCCTGGTTCTAGAAAAAAGCCATAAATGCATTCAAAAAAATCAAAATCCTGTTGTCTAACTACTTCAAGTTTCACTTTTTACATTTTTCTAATTGATATGGTTCAAATTGAGGCAGCCCTGGCAGGCAGCTACCATGGGAAACTGCAGTTTTCAGTACCGAGTCATGTCCTCAGCTCCATGCAACACCGTTCCTGCTGAAGCTGCTGTAGGCGTCGTGACGCTGCATGAGTGGAGACTCTGTGATCCTGGTTTTCTCAGGTCTGTTATCTTGATGTTCGATGCACTGTGTTTTATAAATAGTTGTTACAGTTGAGTAATATTCATTTCTATGCAGTGTTACGTGTCTTTGGGCTTTTGTGAATGTGCATGTTTTAAACCACAAATTTCAAACGTTTTGTTTGCTAATTGTTATTATAATGAAATAAACTTTACCATTGCATAAAAGAAAATTGTTGAAGCTTTGATTGTTAGTTTTAGAAATGATATTGCCCTATCAAATCATTAAATCCACATTCTGGGGAGATATTTCCATCTAGGGACTTTTATAACATATTTTTATTTGCAACTCCAGTGACATACACATATCGCTTCGCTTTAATCCAGCTACGTGAAGTATGAAATGGTGTGTATCTAATAAGAGCTGCTGTTTTGGTGAGTAATAAATTCTAATACAAAAAAAATCACTGCATTTTTAAAAATCTCTTGTCAGTAAAACCCCTCAGGATGGACTGAAATCTGCTTGCAACTAAACAACTAATTCATGGCTCCATCTTTTCATATTTTCATATTTTGTTTGTTAACATGAAGGCCATGGTCTTAATGCATTTCAAATATGCAGTTCTCATAATAACACTCTCCTCCCTCCCCCTTTCTTTATTTTCTATTTTGGAGGGGAAATTCTTATTTTCAGTTTGATTTTTAATCACAGGCTATTGATACTCTAAATAAAGTGTCCTTCATGTAAAATGTAGAAAGACCACTCTTCGGTAGGAGTACACAATGTCATCAGTGATTATAAAATCATAAGATATAAATCTCATTCATACATATTACAGGGTTTTTTGTACCTTATATTAGGTGCTGCCAATCAGAGAAATACATTTTGAAGTCTGCATCATTTCACAAACTCATGTGTGAGTTGTCAAGTTTCATCGGTAACATTTGAAGGATGTAACAAAAAATTGTAAAACTGAGCCCATGGGATGAGTGTTCTGGCTACATCAGAAATAAGGGCAATTGCTGTGTCTGAACAAGCATCCTGCGGTTTGGGATGCCTAGAATAGGACTGGCTCAGCAGAGGCGATCTTACCAGGAGGCCAGCTTGCCTCATCTTCAGTTCTGTGTTCTCCCAAGGCCTTCAGTGTCAACCACTGGGCGTGGGTCTCCATGCAAACCTCCAGAACTGCTACCTGTGAATTGTATCAATTTTATCCCATTCAACTCCAAATCACTGTGCTTACACTGACCTTGTGTTGGATGGTGCCTGCTGATGCTACCAGAGGGAAGCAGAAAACTTGAAGCACGTGCACTCCTATCAATTCAATATGTCATCCCCTCTTACAGATTGTTTTTGCATGCTTATGACGTCTCAAACCTAAAGCTCCATGCCAGCAACACACAACCACCTCACTTTAACCAAGAAAGGTCTTCCATACCTGGACATTTTCACAAGTAAGCTAATAAAAATACTTGAAAACATACAATATTTTTTTTTGCCTTTCAGTTTTTATGACTCTAAAGCATAAACTATGTAACTCACAATTGAAGTAAGAATTTCGTCAGAATAATTTCACTTAATAGTGAATGTTTCATTGAAAATAAAAATGTCAAGTTTCCTCTCAGCAGTTTTAACATGACTACAAATGCTTATTTTTCCTGGACATAAACTAAATAAACCTTTTAGGTTGTGTAAAAATGAACTGAATCTAACTCCATAAAATGTATCAAATTTTCAGTTGTGAGTGTATGAGATGGTTTCAAAATGAAAAATGTGTACTAGGAAAAACTTATCCATGGATTTCAAATTTTTTGCAACAAAAATAAACATTTCATATTTCCATTAACTTTTGGAAGGCCCCTTGAGTATACTCTCAGAAATCTTTCTGTGGGGCTGTTGAAATAGTTCAATTGGCTAATCCTCTGCAAGCAGGTTCTAGTCCTGGCAGCTCCTCCTCCCATCCAGCTCCCTGCTTGTGGCCTAGGAAAGCAGCAGAGGACGGCCCAAAGTCTTAGGACCCTGCACCCACATGGGAGATCCGGAAGAAGCTCCCGGCTCCTGGTTTTGGATTGGCTCAGCTCTGCCCATTGTAGCCACTTGGGGAGTGAGCCAGCAGATGGAAGGTCTTTGTATATCCTTCTCTGCATAAATCTAAACTGCATTTCCAATAAAAATAAATCTTAAAAAAAAAAAGAAGAAAGGCCCCAGAGCAGTAGCCTAGCAGCTAGAATCCTTACCTTTCATGTGCTGGGATCCCATATGGGCACCTGATCGCTTCCCAGCTGCTTCACTTCCAAACCAACTCCCTGCTTGTGGCCTGGGAAAGCATATGAGGATGGCCCAGAGCCTTAGGACCCTACACCCACACAGAGGACTTGAAAGAAGCTCCTTGTTCTCGGCTTCCTCTGACTTGGCTTCCGCCATTGCATCCACTTGGGGAGTGAACCAGCGGATGGAAGATCTTTCTGCCTCTCCTGTTAGGTTTTAAGCACACTTACAATTCTTACTTTGTTACATGAAGCTAATTCCCATAGCAGGTCCTCTTTTCACAACTAGTTTACTGCAAGCCTAAATCTCAGATGCAGCAAGGTACTTAGTAGGTCCTTTATTCCAGCAGGGTAGGAATGAGAGCAGGGATGGAGGGGGAGGAAATTGGAAGGGATGCATCTCTTGCCGTGGTGGCAGGATGGGCGCTGCCAGAGCAGGGGAAGGCACAAGATGGAGGAGGATAGAGAAGAGCCGGGCGAAGGGAGGGGCTGTGTGGGCTGTGTGCTGGCCACAGGGACTGGTGACTGAAATTATTTGAGCCACAGGTAGGTGGATAGAGACTAGGGGGAGGCGCCGGAGGGATTGGGCAGTGGGATTCGCAGGTAAGGTGCCAGGCTACATCTGATTGGTGGATAACGAGAGGCTGCAAGTTTCACTAACTGGGGAAGGGGGAGCAGGAAATGGCGCAGGGTCCAATGATGTTTGAATCATTCCTCACACTTTCTCTCTCTGTATATCTGACTTTTCAATAAAAATAAGCAAATCTTTAAGAAAATACAAAAATCAGAAATCTTTTTGGTTATCTGTAAATGTTTAGTGTATTGTCACTAATAAATTCTCTATCATGGTGGAAAAAAATAGGGAAAAAAACTAGACAACTGGAAATTTAATCCCTTGTCTTTAGAATTAAAAACTATAGTAAGACAAAGAAAGTGCTCTCTGAAACAGAAAACAAATTAACTCATAGGAATCTCCAACACAATTGGAGGCTTCCCTAACCTAGGCAATAATGGTAAGTTGGCCAGACAAGATATCAAACACCTGGAGTTATCAAAAACCATCAAACTCTCAGCCATGCTTTCTGTTTCCTGCCCCTCCAGTGGATTTTTTCTCACTCTAAAACATTTCATCTGCTTCCTGCTATTCGATACCAGCTTGCTGCAGGGCTCTCTCCCCATTGGGATGCAAATCATATGAGATGGATGTGTCTCACTTCTCAGGACAAATCTAAACAGTAAGGTAGCTCCAGTCCACAGGTGAGGAGACTAAACCTGTAGTTAAGAAAATAGCCAAGAAGTTGGCATTGTGGCAGAGTGAGTTACACTGCTCCAAAGATAGACATCCCATATAGTTAGAGACTGTGTCCTGGCTGCTCCACTTCCCATCCAGCCTCCTGCTAACACACCTGGAAAAAGAAGTAGAAAATGGTCCAAGAGCTTTGACCCCTACATCCATGTGAGAGACACAAGTGAAATTTATGGCACCTGATTTTGGACTGGTCTAGCCCCGGGCCATTGCCGTCATTTAGAGAATGAAACAATGCATGAAGATGCTCGTGTATGTGTCTCTCTTTCTGTCTAACTCTGCCTTTCAAATAAGTAGATCTTTAAAGTAAGAGGAAGAAACAAAAATAAGATAGACAAAAGCTACTCCTCTTTGAAAAGACTGATAGAAAACTAACCTATGTACTATGACCCAACATCCATCCTAAGAGCGGGTATTGGTGCACTAATCAAGATGCTTCTTGCGATGCCCGAACTCAGCCTGGCTTTGAGTCCTGGCTCTCCTTGGGATTCCAACAGCCTGCTAATGCACTTGGGAGGCAGTGACGATGACTCAAATGGTTGGGTCCTGTTAAGAAAGTGGCAGAACAGAGCAAGACAGGGTAGGAATTCACAGTCAAATCAGATTTCCTATTGAAGAGAAAAGAAAAATGAATCCAGAGAAGGCTGCCCACTGCTGTGTTTAGATGGAGTGACCACAAGACTGAGGCCCAGTCTCTCAATAAGCTGTGATTTTTATTTATTTATTTATTTTAAAATCTAACTATTTTTATTTGAAAGATTTGCAAAGAGAAGAAGAGATAAAGGTCTTCCATTCACTGGTTCATTCCCCTGAATGACCACATGGCCAGAGCTGAATTGATCCAAAGCTGGGAGCCAGGAGCCTCTTCCAGGTTTCCCACATGGGTGCAGGGTCCTAAGGACTTTGGCCATCATCCACTGCTTTCCCAGGCCATAAACAGGGAGCTGGATGGGAAGTGGAGTAGCTGGAAAACAAACTGG